ATGTCGCTATTACAAGGAAGGTATTAATTTATAGCAATGTGTTGATTTATTCTTACACGTTCTAAAAATGAACAAGCACTTGGCCAGAATTGAATTGAAAATAGAGAAGATATAATATTAAGTACTGTTACTTATATTCTCAGAATTTCATTCGATGTAAAATGAAGGAGTTCTTCATAAGATTAGTGAATAAAGTTTTCATATAACTTTAGAAATAAATGTGTATGATTCATTGGTTACTTGTAAATGCCATTCCAAATCCAAATTATTTAAAAAAATCTTATGACACTTTGAAACTTCCTTTTGATGTTCTTTCAAAATTCTTATGTAAAAATTATTTTAAAAAATTGCCTTCAATGGTGATTTTGATGTCAAGAATAAATTTCCGACTCGCATATAGTATCTGAGTGCATCTTTCTAATTACATTTTGTGATGGTTTACACATAATTTCTTTGATTCAGAGTTATAAATTTTTATCTCTTAAAAAACATTTTATTGATATTCGACAACTAAAGAATTTATGGAATATGTCGAAGTTATATTTTTTGTTTTTCTGCATGTGCTGTTTAGTTATAGCTGCTCTCAGTTGTAAGTATACATATTTATTACTGTCTTTAAAATACTTTTAGTATCTTTAACAGGGATTATTCGTCTGAATAATGTCGTTCCAAGCTATCTCGTATTGGAATGAATTGGCATGGTATAGAACCAAAACATATTCTATATATCTTCACCTTCAGCTTAGTGTTGAAATACACCAATAACAGTGTTTCTTAACTTAATTGCAAAATGTTACATCAACCTGATCAGTATATAGAACTCACATCGGCGGTGACCACTCAATAGGGGATGGTTTCTCTTCCTAGGCACCTTATCAAACCCCCAGAATATTCAGGGGTTTCGTAGATTATGCCCTCCTTACGGAATTTAATTGTTTAAATACTTTTTGAGTGCATATTTAAATTTTAGATTTAAATTAGAATTTTCTACATTATGGACTAGTTTTTAGATACCAAACATCTTTGCTTGTAGTTTTCATAGCTTTCTCTTTTTTTACTTAACAAGGGAAAGTGAAGTGTTTGAAACTCATGAATAGACATGATATTAAGGTGTAATATCCCTCGGATAAGAGAGCAAACTTTCTGAAGACATTTTTCCCATGAAATTCAATGGATTGTCTTGTCAGAATGTACAGAGGTCTTTAATGAGGACTTTTTTTATACCATAGTCAACTCAAACAAATCTAACTTAATGTACAGATGTTGATTTCTAATTTCTAATATATGTACCAATATTTTCATTCATTACATATAATTGTCTGCCTAAAACATTTATACTAAGTTCCTTTAAACTGTGAAAATTGAAATAATTACATCATTTTTTTTTTAACGTACAAGTCTTTTAACTGTTTCAGAAAGAACTATATTCGGTATATTGCATATCTTTGCCCCCACAAAAATCAAATTTAAAACATTCTTACATGTAAAATGTGTTGTATTGTATAAATTGTATGAAAAATATAAATAAACAAAACATATTATAGTTTCAAAGTAGATTATTGACAATTTTTGTTTTTATGACGTCACAAACTAGTCGGATTTTGCATTATTTTTTAAAAATAGGACAAAATGGACAATATTCCAACAGTTTTAGCTATAGAATTTATAGAGCCCAGGTTTGCTCAGGATCAATATTTGCATATTTAATTGATATTATCATTCTACACATTATATCGCAATATTGAACCTGAGCAGACCTGCGGTCGGTGATTTTTACTCAAAATATTGACGCAATTTTTGCATGTTTCTGTAGAAATCATGGAAATTTTACATTTACGTCATTTTCAAAACGTCATCAGTGGTTTGAAGTCAGCATGTATCCCCGAGTTTTAGAACATAATTAAGTTTTACTTCGTCAAAGTTTTATTTGGGGGCAAATATTGGTTATTACGAAACAAAGTCCTTTCAGATGCAGAATTGTTTAGAAACATTTATCTAATATTTTGTTCAGCTAAAAACAATTTTCAGTGCAATAATGAAAAGATGAATCTTGCTGATGGATGCATATTTTACAAGCACAGAAAACAATTTGATTTTTTGATTTGAAAAGTAATGCTTTATTGTATTTTCTAATTACACTTAGATAGGTATGACATTAAACATTATTTTCATATATACCTCATACTTTTAATTTAATTGCGAGATAAAAAAAAATATTGATATTTTTAATTACCATATCAAATTTTCTTCACATTATAATTAGATATAATATTCATTTCTGAAAAAGTAAGCAATGTTTTATACTTTAACTATTTTCCATTTGAATCTCATGCTTTTGTTGTTAATGAAAATCAATGTTTGGAATTTTAAACAATGGTTAAAATTTGGAGGAGAGGGATATTTCACCGTAAATGCTCTGATTTAATAATACCCAAGATTAAAATAGGTTATATACTATATACTATAGTATTTGATATAAACTCTATTTGCCTCTTTTGTTGAACGTACGAGAATGTAATTTCAGACAATATCCTATAAAATAGCTTTGATAAAATTTCAAAACTCTGCAAGTGTGTAAGATAATTATTAAAATACATTTGAACATGAAAATCTTGATAAAGTATAAGGTGCCTCATGCTTAAATGCATAACTTCATAACACATTATGATTGAAAATATATTTACTTGTATTAAAGTACATGTATGGTAATTGTATTACCCTATGTATTGATCATGACAAGGAGCACACGGAAAGTGTGACCGGTAGGCAGGGGATGCTCACTGATCTATGGCACCTGATCCCACCTCTGATGTTTCGGAGGTCCGTGTTTGCTCTGCTCCTGTTTTGTATTGTTTTGTGGACTTCTGATCTTGAATACTGTTCGTTATCTCCATATGTTTCTTTTCAGCAGAAAATAACTTATGTATATCGGCAAAATATAAAAACGGAGATCTGGTGCTGACTCCTACCGGCTCCTCAAAGCCTCTGACTTATCTGATGGTAAGACCTCTACAAAGTGAATGGATGATATTTACAGGAAAACAATACATTATAGAGGATATTTTGCAGTACAATTCTACTAAAATCCGAGTCGTCGATTATAAGGAAAATGGTACACGAGTCTTTTACAATATCCAAGGTACCTTCTATAAATTATTAATATTGCTACAGTTTTACGTTGTGTGCTTTTGATTTTTTCTTCTTTTTTCTGACAAAGGAATATTATAAAACTTGTCAGAAAATTGGTATGGATTGCATACCTTGCTAAAAATCGTTCATTTCTGAGCACTTTTTTCTACATAAGATAATAAACTATTCAATTAAGCCCAAGTTAGACAAAGAAAACACTTTATATATTTGAAAATAAGGAGATTTTTTTTGTATTGTAATATGTAAAGGACGTCCATTTTCCCATATAAAAAATTATTATATTTAAAATCGAAGAGAAATATGCTTCCTAACATGAATCTATTTTTTCTCGATTGATTTAACGCCTCCACAGTTCAAGTATTGGAATCTAAAGAAGGTGACACGAAAAATATATCTTGGACTAATGATGCCTTTCCTCTGAGTGAAATGTATGAAATAACCCACACACACGACGATTTACAAAGGCCAATTCTCACTGCAAATGAGGATAATATATCAATATGTGATCCATCGAAATACGCCTATCCCAAAACAACATTTGACTTTGGAGACTTAAGTTTCCAGATAAGGAACATTTCGACAAGAGATGCTGGATTCTATTCCGGGTGTACTGTGAACAACGAGTCTTGGTGTGGAGGGGGAGTGGTTCTTGTGGTCAAAGGTTGTCAGTTAGGCTGTCTTTAAAATAAACGTTTGTTTGCCCTTTCCTGGCTCAAAGTTTAAAGAAATTGGAGGTGGGAAAATCTTATTCCCCATTCAATATTATAAAAATCATTTGAATTTTCAAACTATATTCAGATAAAATTACAATATTTGTTCATGAGATGATAAAAATTTAGGAATTGAAGAAAAAAAAAGGAACATTTCCTGGTGCTTAAAAAAGTCAAATTGGGTCATACTTACCCAGTTGGTCGAGAGAGGGCAAACAATCTTTCCTTTTGAAGATGACCGTTTTGTTTCCTTATAGTTAACAAAGCTGAAATTTTAGATTAAAATTAAAGTAGTTTGTATTTCTTTTTAATTTTATTTCACGTATTTGAAATTAAAGTAAAATTGGAACATTTGTGAAAAAAAGTGTTATAATAAAAGAAAAAGTATTACCATAAGCAAAATTAAAAGTGTATCATGGGTATTTTCTATTTAGGGCACATGTATATCAACATTTTGCCATTATAAGTAGAATGGATGACTCGACTTTTTCACGTGTACATGTATATCGAACAATGGGAAAGTTACATTTTTCGTATTCCTATTCTTATTCCTAGGAAATCCAACTAAACCCGTGATAATGGGAAATCTGACCCTCAAAACAGGACAAAACGCATCGGTGAGCTGCTACAGTAAATCCACTTCAGTTCCACCCTATTATAAAGAGTTGCCTCCCTTGTCATACATGTGGTACATCAACAACACTCTGGTGGGAGAAACTACGAGAAGTGTTTACAGATTAACCATAGAGAAGGGCGATAAACACAGCTATCTGTCATGTCAAGCAAAGGAAACACTCTTGTCAGTGAAAAGTGACCGGCTGCAAATCAACCCACTGTGTAAGTTTTTTTTTCTGAAAAGATTTACAGTAAGGTTAGCATTTGTAAACCTATATATATTCGACAAAATAAAATCTTATGACAAAAATCAGATCAAAATTTCAAAACGTATTAGATAAATTACGTGAACAATTTTTCATGTCTACAAAAGCCATTTAACGTTTAACCGCAATAGTTATTGCGTTTTAATGCAAAACATTGCGTTTAATTGCAATAATGTTCGTGTTTACTCGCAATATATAATTTGTTTAAACGTAAAACACTTTGTGTTTAATCGCAATAAACACAATCTTTTGCATATAAACGATATAACTTTGCGATAAAATGCAGCAGTTTTTACGTTTAAAGCCAATATTTTCATTTATACGCAACAGTTTTGCGTGAAACATTAAAAAGACCTGGACACAATTTCAATTGATTTAAAAAAAAAAAAGAAGTCAATTTTAATGTTTTCAATTCCTAATTAAGGCTATTAAAATGATGGGCAAAAACTTGTACATCCTTTGGTGATTTAAACAGGAGATACAGAGCTTAAAATTCTTTATAATGTAAACAAAGCGTATGCCCTGTTTTTGTTTAAATATAGCAAATATAATATCTATAATAAAACAAGATTCAGCAAATCACTAGAAACTGTCAAATCATATTATCTGTTTTGAAGTAACATATATTAATATATTTAACCTATGTAAACAAACATGGCACGGATCATGTTTACATTGCAAAGGTTTGGACCCCTTAATCTATCTTGCATCTCGACAACTGAAATTAAAATTTTTGATTACCATTAAAGATACCTTAGTTAAGTATTTGTAAACATAAAAAAGGAAAATAAATTGGAATTTGGTAGCTGAAACTGTGTTCATGTCCCTTTAAAGTCAATAAAAGAGATTTTTTTCTCTGAAATTGCCTCGATGGGCTTCCTTACATGAATTCCATATGACAATGTTTTCTTTTGAATTGATGAAACATTCAATCCAGTAACTGATTTGTTGAAATTCTCACTCTATACTGTTGTTGTCTAATAATATTCAAATCATTGTAATGTGATGAAAATACGTGTACACGTATTACATTCAGACGGTCCAGATCTAGAAGACATGAATATATCACCACCGATCAGCGACAACATAACTTTACATGAAAATGACATCTTTGGTCCGTATGTCTGCGCAGTGGACTGTAATCCACCATGCAATGTTCAATGGAAATACATGGAATCATTAGGGAAGTATATTAGTATCACAACCAAAGGACAAACGTCTAAGCTATTACCGGAACTACAAGTGCGCAGAAGCAAACATGGATTGTTCCAGTGTGTTGCAGAAGGTTTAGATGACAAAGTGGAAACAATCACAATAAAGTTAGACATTCAATGTACGTGGTTTTTTGGTGATTTGATGAAGAAGTAGATTTCTTATTTAGGTTAATAAAGCTGGTGAAATGTCTACCATTGCGATAACATTAGCTAGAAACATGCCTGCAATATTGCATGATCGATACATATGTAATGACTGTGGACCTTGTCTATATACTAGTATCTGATACTTAACATGGATATCTGTGTTTCTATGTATTCAAAATATGCTTTTGATAAAATAAGAAAATTCTGATAACAAATCCAATCCACTACTTTAAATTTATTAAAAAGAAATTAAATATTTTGGTCTTTTGATTGTCTTTTTCATTGTCTTTTGGAATATTTCCGATGTAAAGCTTGCCAAATTCAATTCAATTTCAATTTGAGAACCATAAAATTATTTATTTTTATAAATATCTGTTTTGTTCTCTAAATGTTTCAGATTTGTCTACACCGAAGGTATATATAAATGGAGTAGATGCTGCTAATGTAACAGACATACCGGAAAATGAGACCCTACAAATATCGTGTCTCGTGGAAGGAAATCCTGTCCCTGCAGTGACCATCAAGAGGGAACGGGGGAACAACCTCCTCGGGAACAGTGTGGATCAGTGGTTAAACTACACATCTATTAAAGAAACCCAGTGTGCCGATACAGATACCTACATATGTGAAGGAACGTCGAAAGAAATTGCAAGCAAATCTACAATATTCACTATGAATATTATATGTAAGTACTGCCTTGATCATACATATAATACTAGTATTTCAGAGAGAAAAAAAGGGGGAGGGGGAGAGCCAGAGGGAGAAAGTCGGAGGAATTCATTCATGCATTACTTGTACGTACATTTATCTTTTCCAGGTAAACCTCGTTTGGACAAACGTTTCGAGTTCAAATCAACGTACCAAGTAGAAAATCTACCTACAATCATCACCGTGGATGTTCCAATTATCTCCAATCCTAAGCCGATCTCCGTCAAATGGCTCGGGGCGGTTCCCACTGAGGCCTTCTACACCACGATATCTAGAGGAAGTGATTTCTTTCATCACTGGATATACAGTACAATCCCCATCTATAATGACAGCATTCTTGGAAACTACACTCTTTTTGTCGATGACGTCGACTTAGCAAGCATCAGGATAATAGGTTTTCCTTTTATTCATCTACTGTATACTGTTTTATTTTCGTCACGTGTTATTTTCGCCATTTCAAAACTGTTTTGCCCCTTTTAAATTCGCATACTAGTATTCAGAGTTCTGATTAAGAATTCCAAGTACTGACTTCTTTGAATTCATTGATATGTCTTAAATTCGCCGACTAGTGACCATAGTGAAAGAGGCAAAATAAAATGGTGGCGGACTTTTTTAAAATTATTATATATGAACTCTTGAACAAATATATGTGCAAGGAGGAACAAGTACGGAAGCCCGTTGAGACCAGTTCAGAAGAAGAAATATTTACTCGCAAAAATTATTGCGATTAAACGCAAAAGTATTATTGCGTTTAAACGCAATAATTATTGCATTTAATCGCAATATTGTTGCGTTTAATCGCAAAAGATTGCGTTTAATCGCAATCTTCTGCAATTAAACGCAAAGTGTTTTGCGTTTAAACGCAATGATTATTGCAATTAAACGCAAAGTTTTGCGATTAAACGCAATAATTATTGCATTTAAACTCAATAAGAAATATTTCTTTCCCTAGACTGGTGTACTCTACAAAAATTTGAATTTTTCAATTAAAATTTACAAATTTTAATTGAAAAATTCAAATTTTTGTAGAGGACACTGGCCTCAACGGGCTTCTGTTAATACACACTGTAAGTGAAATATAAAATATTTTTCTTCAAAATGGACTTTGACATATAAGAGAATTTTTTTACAGATAAAAATACAATATGAATGTTCATTTTTTTTGGTGTTCTTGAATTATTGAAATAAAAATAAAATCTAAAATGACTCCACCTCTGATGTTTTGGAGGTCAGTGTGTGCTCTGCTCCTGTTTTGTATTGTTTTATGGAATTTTGATCTTAAATACGGTTCGTTATCTCTATATGTTTCATTGTTTTCAATGAGGACGGAATAAATTTTGATTTTTTTTTAAACATTACAGAAGTAAATCCAGGCTTTCCCGAGACTGTTTTGATACAACGGGAGATCTGGATTTCCTTTATTGGTACTCTCGCTTCTTTATCGATATTGTTGGCCGTGGTTATAATTATACGGAAATGTAAGTATAATTTAGCATAGATGAATTATAATTACAACAAATACTAGTATCATTTAATTTATTTCAAACTGATAGCTTTGATCAATACAAATAATTCATCATTATTAAATGAGTCAACGTTTTGAAATTCTTAAATAGCCCCATACGGAAGACAAACTACTCAGCCACAAGTCGGTGAACAGACAGTGAACACAGAGAATCCAGCGACGTATGATGATACATTAGAACGACGTGAAGGAGGGGGGAGTAGTGGTGAATACGAAACTCTGCCTTTTGGAGAACCTAGGGAAACCCGAATGACCAAGTCTGGACAGTTTATGATGGACCGGAGTAATGACAACAAGGATCAAGGAAATATCTATGAAAATCTCCAGTCAACAAAGAAATCTCTTTGAAAATCTCAAACCGACAACTAAATCCCAAACCAACAAGGAAATCCCTGAGAAAATCTTCAGTAAACAGCGTTGAGAGGAAAAAAATACTTATTCACAAATTAATGAGTTATATGTATTCAGAAAGAACTGTCTTTTTTTAATATATAGCAAAAAACATTTTTACGATTATGGGATTAACAGACCCGCTGATGTTCATGTATATTTCATTAATTTTATGTAAATTTATTTGTAATGTACATAGCATTATGAAATAAAATTTGAATACAGCATTATTATGCTTTTGTGTTATAAAAGTAAAATTTATAATTCAAAATTTACACTTTTTCTTGTCCAATAAATTAACAATGAAGAACTCTCCTGGGTGGCTAAATAATAATTCTATATCTAGATTTCAACGTGGGATTTTAAAAATCATGATGGTTCTAGAGTGAACATCATCGGGGTGGGGTGGGTGGGTGGGGGGTATATATAATTATTTATTTCAATCAGTATGTTCCAGTCCAGTCCAATACGAAAAATCGTAATGTTACGAAATATAGTAATATTACAAGAAATCGTAATGTTACAAAATATCGTAATATTTATGTTCCCCAAACGGAGTTTGGGAACATATTGTTTTTACTCGGTTTCTTATTAAGGTCTTCCGTCTCCAACGGAAGACCTTCTTGTTATTCTTCGGTTTCTTTTTCCCTATTATTATTAAGGTCTTCCGTCTTCAGCGGAAGACCTTCTTGTTATTCTTAGGTTTCTTTTTCACTTTTATTATTATTGTTTTTTTTTCTTATCGATTTTGTGCACGCGATTTCTCGAAAACGGCTCAATGGATTTCCATGAAACTTTCAGGACTTATGTTACATCACTTGAACCTTATGCGTTTTTTTCCGTTTTGATGACGTCACTTCCGGTCCGGAGTTATCGTCACTTTAATGGTTTTTTGAGGGTCGTTTTGTCCGCACGATTTCTCCTAAACGGCTTTTGATAGACACATGATACTTTCAGGTATGGTAGACCTATGTCTGTAGATTTGCGGAATGTATTTCATTTTTATCGGAAGTGCCGCACGTCGGCGCTCGCTATGGCCCGAAAAAAGTCCTATCGCGAATTTCAAAATTTTTGACACCTTTTCTATGATATCTTTTTACCTGGAAATATTTTGTTAAAACATATAGAACAAAAGAATTGTAGAATCCAAAGATCTTTCAAATGATATCTCGAAAAAAGGGCTGGCCCCTAAAATTAAGGGCCTAGAGGGGCCGAAAGATTTTCCTTTATATCTAAAAAAGTATTGAGAATTTGTAATACATCAAATAAGCAAACATGTTTAAAATTCAAGCTTAATATATTGGCGTCGTCAAAATACGTCCGGCGTCGTCACTTCCGGTCAAACCGGAAGTAGTCAGAAAATGCATATTTTTGCCTTTCTTGGCAAATTTTTGGGTAACATCTCTCACTGGGAGCATAAAAATTAAATTTTCGTCCGTCGTCGTCACTTCCGGTTACACCGAAAGTAGCAAAAAATCGCTGAGTTTTGCAATAATTAACATAGATTAGGAGGTTGAACCATTTTTGGACTTCATTACTCATTTTTTTAAAAATTAAAGTTACTTCCGGTCAAACAGGACGGAAGACCTACTCGTTGCTTTGCAACGAGCTCGGCTCTAGTTATTATTATTATTTTTCTTACCGATTTTGTGCACGCGATTTCTCGTTAACTACTGGGCCGATTCTCATGAAACTTTCACATCTGATCTGAACCTTATTGGAAATTTTTTTCGTTGACGCCGTCACTTCCGGTCGTGAGATATGGACAATTTCCTGATTTTAAAGTGCAATTTTGTCTTGATTTAGTAGCGAAAACTGCTTAAGATATGAACTGAAGATTAATTGGAGATGATAGTTCATGACTTATAGCGTTGCAGAATTGCCTTTTCGTGCGTCGTCATTACTTCCGGTCGATACCGGAAACGAATTTAAGAAACGCAATTTTTCAACTTTTCTTTTTTAATATTTTTGTTTTAGAATTGAATAGAGACCCTTTTGCAGAAGCGAAATATGTAATTTGTTTGAAAATCGAAAAAGCCAATCTCGAGATATATGCATTTGAAAACGCGAAGCGGCGATCTCAATGGCCAAATGGTTAGCGCGTTGGATTGTCACGCGGGCGACCCGGGTTCGATCCCCCATGTGACCAAAAAATTTTATCATTTTTTCTGCTCGATTTTTCGATATTTTTAAATTTTAAACCAATTGGAACAATATATTATAAACTTTTAAGCATATCTTGCGTAATAAGGGGTCACAAGGGGCCAGAATATCACATCTTTGACGCTTTATATCTCAAAAAGGGGGAATATTTTGATAAGCAATATTGAACAAAAGATGGTCAGAATAATGTTCTAAACAATATGCATACTTTGAATTTTTGTAAAACGGCCCCATTAAGGACTTGTAGGAGTGGCCCCTAAATATTTTTATTGAGCATATCTCCACAACGAATAGAAATCTCTGAATAAGTGTTGAACAAAAAATCTTCAAAATCACAAGACCTTTCATTTGATATCAAGAAAAAGGGGCTGACCCCTCAAATTAGGGGCTCAGAGGGGCCAAAAGTCTTTTATCTATAACTCTCTAACGATCAATATTTTGTTATACATTACTGAAGCAAAAGTGTTTATCTTAACAATTTGCAACAATATATGATGATATTTTAATAATATATTACGTAATTAGGGGTCACAAGGGGCCAGAATGTCACATCTTTGACGCTTTATATCTCAAAAAGGGGGAATATTTTGATAAGCAATACTGAACAAAAGATGGTCAGAATAATGTTCTAAACAATATGCATACTTTGAATTTTTGTAAAACGGCCCCATTAAGGACTTGTAGGAGTGGCCCCTAAATATTTTTATTGAGCATATCTCCACAACGAATAGAAATCTCTGAATAAGTGTTGAACAAAAAATCTTCAAAATCACAAGACCTTTCATTTGATATCAAGAAAAAGGGGCTGACACCTCAAATTAGGGGCTCAGAGGGGCCAAAAGTCTTTTATCTATAACTCTCTAACGATCAATATTTTGTTATACATTACTGAAGCAAAAGTGTTTATCTTAACGATTTGCAACGATATATGATGATATTTTAATAATATATTACGTAATTAGGGGTCACAAGGGGCCAGAATGTCACATCTTTGACGCTTTATATCTCAAAAAGGGGGAATATTTTAATAAGCAATACTGAACAAAAGATGGTCAGAATAATGTTCTAAACAATATGCATACTTTGAATTTTTGTAAAACGGCCCCATTAAGGACTTGTAGGAGTGGCCCCTAAATATTTCCACTTAACATATCTCCACAACGAAAAGAAATCTCTGAATAATTGTTGAACAAAAAATCTTCAAAATCACAAGACCTTTCATTTAATATCACGAAAAAGGGGCTGACCCCTCAAATTAGGGGCTCAGAGGGGCCAAAAGTCTTTTATCTATAACTCTCTAATGATCAATATTTTGTTATACATTACTGAGGCCAAAGTATTCATCTTAACGATTTGCAACAATATATAATAATAAATTTTTTATGATATGTTACGTAATTAGGGGTCGCAAGGGACCAAAATGCTATATTTTTTATGCTTTATGTCTCGAAAAGGGGGAGTATTTTCATAAGCCTTATCAAACAAAAGATGTTCAGAATATCGTGATAGAAATGAGAAACTTTAACTTTAACTAGGGAAAACTCAATGTCATTCTCTTTAAACAAATATCTCAGTCAAAATCACATCTCATCTTATCTAGAAATTCAACGGAAGACCTACTCGTTGCTCGCAACGAGATCTCATCTAGTTATTATTAAGGTCTTCCGACTTCCTTCGGAAGACCTTATTGTTATTCGTCTGTTTTTTATTATTATTATTATTTTTTTTTTCTTTTTTTCATAGTTAGAGCGATATCTCAGCTGTGCGTGGACGGATCTAAAAGATTTTTACAGGGATGATGCATCATGAGAATATCTCCAGACGTGTTTTTCATTTTTTCGAAATTTACTTTCGTTCGCGATTTTGGGGGATTTTTGATTTTTTTAAAAGGCAATTTGTCCAGCAGTTTTCTCGAGAACGGCTGAAGATATGAAAATGAAACTCACTGAGGTAATAGAAGATCAAACTCCAATCTGAACAACGACCTTTATTTTTCGTCGTCGGCACTTCCGGTCGCAAACGGAAGTGAATTCAAAAAGTCCCATTTTTCAACTTTTTTGTTTTTCGATATTTTATTTTAGGATTTACAGGGTTTATAGTGTGTCTAATGAGAATTCTAAATATGTGTTCGGTGTCTTGATGCGTGCATATATTGAAAAGATATGACCAAACCAAACTTTGTCCCACTGTCGGGGGTTCGAATCCCGCCGTGGGCGTTCCTAAATTTTTTCTTTGTTTCTGTCATTTTTCAATTGCAAATGCCTTTTCTCACTTTTATAACATGTATAAAATATTTTGCCGATTTTTAAAAGCTTTATTTAAAGATATTTTGAGGTTTACCAGTAATAGTCATGATATATTTTGCGAAACTGCTGTAAATGAACGTAAACAAAAAAAAATTCTGAAATGGGATGAGGCAGCTTAAATCTGTAACGAAAAGTCGGTCGGAAGACCGCTTGTTGCTCTAGCAACAAGGACGCATCTAGTTATTATTATGTTCCCCAAACGGAGTTTGGGAACATATTGTTTTTACTCGGTTTCTTATTATTATTATTATTATTATTATTCTTTTTTTTCTTCTTTGTTCTCCGGTACTTTTTTTGTCCGCGAGTGTTCTCAAAAACTGTTCACCCAACTAAGTTAAAACCTTTTTAGGGTTAATAGGTGTCAAGTGTAGGTGTGCACAACGAAGGTCATTTTGCGCGCATACGCATGCACGTGCGTGTGCGTGAAATGAGTTAAATGACTGATATACTTATTATAGCCATAACTTTTACATTTTTTATTGAAATGCTTTGAAACTCATTCTATAAGGATATATTAATAGTCTAGATATTATGACATGGTCAAATTAGCACGAACTCACGTGCATGCACGTGCGCTTCCCTCTGATTGGCTGAAACAAAGATTTCAATATCTCTTTTGTTTATTGATGAAATGCTTTGAAATTTTAAACATAGTCATGCATTAGGATATACTACAATATAATATATAGCAGGTATCATGAAAACACGCGCATGCACGTGCGCTGCAATCTGATTGGCTTAAACTTTAAAAGGGTATAACTCCTTTGATTTTCAACCAAACAGGATGGGATTTAGAACATAGATAGACATAGTGGATTCCTACAAAAAGGTAAGGTCATCATGCACATGCATGCACGTGAGATGGTTAAAATCAAAAATACACTTGATGAAGCGTATTTTTTAATACTTTTGGATTAAATGCTTTATTATCTTATCATATTAATGTATATAGATATTGTAGACAAGAGAATGTGGTCATTACGCACATGCATTTACATGTGCACGCGTGCAAATGCTAAAATTTGAATATACTCAGTATACTTCAGGGAAACGTTGTTAAAGTGTAAAATGCATAGAGTTTGTCGTTTTTAATGAAGCTTAAAGGGAGTATGGCACCAAAAGGGAGTTGGGGAGCGTTTGGGGAACATCTGTAACGGTTCCCGTTACAATTAGCCCTAGTTATTATTCTTTTTTTTCTTCTTTGTTCTCCGGTACTTTTTTTGTCCGCGAGTGTTCTCAGAAACTGTTCACCCAACTAAGTTAAAACCTTTTTAGGGTTAATAGGTGTCAAGTGTAGGTGTGCACAACGAAGGTCATTTTGCGTGCACACGCATGCACGTGCGTGCGCGTGAAATGAGTGAAATGACTGATATACTTATTATAGCCATAACTTTTACATTTTTTATTGAAATGCTTTGAAACTCATTCTATAAGGATATATTAATAGTCTAGATAATATGACATGGTCAAATTAGCACGAACTCACGTGCATGCACGTGCGCTTCCCTCTGATTGGCTGAAACAAAGATTTCAATATCTCTTTTGTTTTTTGACGAAATGCTTTGACATTTTAAACATAGTCATGCATTAGGATATACTACAATATAATATATAGCAGGTATCATGAAAACACGCGCATGCACGTGCGCTGCAATCTGATTGGCTTAAAATTTAAATGGGTATAACTCCTTTGATTTTCAACCAAACAGGATGGGATTTAGAACATAGATAGACATAGTGGATTCCTACAAAAAGGTAAGGTCATCATGCACATGCATGCACGTGCATGCACATGAGATGGATAAAATCAAAAATACACTTGATGAAGCGTATTTTTTACTACTTTTGGATTAAATGCTTTATTATTTTATTATATTAATGTATATAGATAGTGTAGACAAGAGAATATGGTCATTACGCACATGCATTTACATGTGCACGCGTGCAAATGCTAAAATTTGAATATACTCGGTATACTTCAGGGAAACGTTGTTGAAGTGTAAAATGCATAGAGTTTGTCGTTTTTAATGAAGCTTAAAGGGGTATGGCACCAAAAGGGAGTTGGGGAGCGTTTGGGGAACATCTGTAACGGTTCCCGTTACAATTAGCCCTAGTATTCTTATATTACTATTTTTCGTAATATAGTTAAATTACGGAAACTCGTAATATAGCAAGTTGAGAGAGACTATATTACGAGTTTTCGTAATGCAAGACAAAATAAAGCATTGAATAAACTGAATGATGTTTATGGAAGTATGACGTCAGAAATACATTATGCCCCAATGGTACTAGTATCACGTGGTCATTTTGGTCAGTGACGTCTATCGAAACGTATGGAAATGCAAGAAGAAAGTAACAATGGTAAAGGGTGAGTGAACATTTTGTTTTATTATTCTTATATAAGAATTTTCCCAAGGATAGGAACAATTTTCCATAAAATTTCAATGTATCCTCAAGCTTGTCACAATGGTCTATAATCCCTGAATTCCCTATATTTTTCCCGAAGTCTACCCTGAAAATCAGACCCTCATCTCAAACAACGAGATGTTACGAGAGATAACTTGTAAGACTCTCACTAGGCTCTGAATCTGCTTGCACTTGGATCAAATGCACCAAAACAAAGAAAATGCACTAACCATACATATCCACGATATCATAATGATGAAACCAGGGACCAATTAATAATCTCTGATGAAACATAACAAAGAGGTTGTATCAGAAAAAAGGGAAGTAACTCTTAGAAGAGTTAGAAATTGCTTATGTTACGAATTTTAGTAATATTACGATTTTTCGTATTGGACTGGACTGTGTTCAGTGGATGTAGATACAATGTATACAATGTTTACTGTCATGATTGTGAATGTTAAATGTACCATATTCTGCCTCGATCTTCATGGTGCAACAAAAAGTATATTGCGTATTAATTTATTGCAACTGCATGTTTTTTCAGAGTTGAAAATTGTTTGTACATGTATTAAAAGTATTCATTTTTTTGTGTCTTTTAATTTTATCTTCAATATCATGAAAACTGAAGATATACAGTTTTATAATTGATATTTGAATCATTTTACATAGACTGATAGGAATTTGGGATTATTGCATAATATCGCACCCCGTATGTATACACCTACACATCGTCACGAAGATGACACCTACATGGCACTTGCAAAAAAATAAAAATCGGGTTTGAAGTTCCAGAATTACTTACTCCTCAAAACAATCGACGGGCTGACAAAAATGGACAAGAAAAGTTTGAAGAAGTAGAATCTGATAACACTTTGGTTTAAAGACAAATTCCTTTATTTGATTATGTCAAAGTAAGGAAGTTTATCTTTTTAAAATGATATTTTTATATGATTCGTATTTGTTTGTTTGGACTTTGGAAAATAACGTATTGAACGTACACAATATCTGATAGAGACGTGTCTGCATAAATGACTAAATGTGTATGTCTCATTTGAATCGGCTTTTAAAATGTTTAGGTAAATAATCAAGTTAAGCAACAAAGCTAGTAATTGACCATCGATGTTTAATACTGACTGCAGAAAATTATAAGAAGTTGATACAGTAAAACTCGTTTAGTGCGAACACGGATATAACGAATTCAGGGATATAGCGAAGTTTTTCGTGGTTCCCGGCCAAATTCTTCACAATTCTTTGTAAAATTTTTACAGTTATAACGAACTTTGATATAACGAATTTACGGATATAGCGAAGTAATTTTGAATCCCGTAGAGGTTAGAAATGATGGAATTTACATCTTTTATAACGAATTTTCAAGCATCATAAAATTTGATATATTGATCTGACTTTATTTTCAGTAAGTATTTTTATTTAAAATTCAATTCATTAAAAAAAAAACCCTGTTATCCAAAGTATGTTATTTGTTATGTTATGCTTCCCTAACATATTCGGTAAAACTAGGGGTGCAGCAATGCGCCTACCCCACGATATGATACGTTTCACAGTATTCAGTTCACGGTACGATATGTATCACGATACATGACATATTGGGTTAAAAAGTCAGACGTTTGTCATCATCATGATCATATGCTTAAAACTCAAAAGTTTTTTCAAATGCTCATTACGCTAACCTCATGTTTCGTGCGGAAGCCATTTTGAAATTGTAAATGACGAACAAAAAGGGAAGAATCGGATAATTACGGACCGATTGAACCAAACCGTTGGTATCAGTTTCACGTATAATGAACGAACTGAACCATGGAAAAATAAAACTTCAAGGAAAATGTGCATATTGCAAATTTGCTATATATATAGCTATACTATTTCATTATACGGATATAATGAATTATGGATATAGTGAATTAATTACACAGGTCCCAAGGACTTTGCTATAACCAAGTTTTACTGTAACATTTTCGTATGTCTTCCAAATGCAAAGAGTTATCTTTATGAAATTGTAACAGAGTTGAGAAGTGGCTATATGTGTTGTAAATAGTGAGGCCATGCTCCTAGTGGGTTAAAAATTAACCCTTGCTCAGTCGGTAGAGCGTTGGACTTTATATCTCATATTCTGAGGGTTGTAGGTTTGAGTCACAAAGTGGACAGTGCCTAGCTAATCAGTCGTAAAATGAGAGAATCTTACATGGTGCAAACTTTTGAGATACTAAGTGCTGTTGTGGATCCGATGCCTTTCCAGTTTTAACTGGGATCAATCCCTTCAAACCTCAGGAAACATTTGGAATTTCTAGTTTGTTACGTCTCATGATATAGATATTAGATTAAAGTGAATAATAGAGGGGAAATATGAAATTTTCCTTGAAAAAATGCATTATTTAGGCAAGGATCCCATACATTTCTGTATTGCCCATATATGTGTCTCTACTGGTAAATAACAATTTCATCCCGTTGAAGAAATTGACAAAGACACTTAGAGATCAAGAACATTTAGAGAAACAAAAGTTTAAGTCATAAATTATTGCCTGTACATCTATTGGCAATAGAAAAATGTTAATGGATCTATTGTTACTTGTAGAAGATAAAGAAAAATGGCCTTGATGGGACCTAAAACCTTAACCGAGAGAACTCGGAAAAGGAAGGCGAGTGATCCAGATGATGAAAATCTGAAGTTGGTGAGAATCGTCATCTTTTGATTTAAAACATCAACTTAATAAAACAAAATTCTGTAAATTTTAAAGATGAAAGATAAAACATTGCTCTAAAATGCATTTTTGTATTTGGATAAATTGCATTGTGTGCATGCTCAACATGCTCAATTCATGTTCTACATGTCTATATGTTATTGTATTACAAAACGCCTGACGTAACATATAAAAACAGGCCCCTAAGAATGCAGACTGAGGGAGAATGGGATGAGGATTGGGGTTGCAGCTCCCCCTACATAATAAATGTATTGGGAGTATCTACTTTTTATTGTTTCTCAAAAGACTTTGAATCATCAAGCTCCAGTAATGAAATTTTAAAGCAATGCCCATTTTTATACTGGGAAATGAAATCTTTTCAAGTACATGTATGGATTAAGTCACTAGGGTGAGCAGACCTGTTTACTCTTACGATTTCACCGTATTTTGTACGGATTTTTAGTATAAAATACGTCTCACGTTTTGTTATTCTGAAAATACGGAAATCGGAAATACGTTCGTTTGGAATTTAGCTGTTAGTTTTCGTTATGATCTGTCTTCGTTTCAAGCCTTTCAATCGCTAAAAAAGATAAAAATTTCAAACACTAAGTAATGTCGGGTTGCCAAGACGCTCTGGTATAATAAAATGACAAAGACAATGTTGTTAAACCTAGTTTTTGTAATCAGAAAAACAATTGTTTTCTATTAATATATGTAAAATCGATGGGAAGTTCAATCTTACTGGCAAATTCCAAATCTCACGAAAAAATCTGATCAAAAATACTGAGAGGCGATGACATGGGTAAACAGGTCTGGGTGAGCCTTTTTACTCACAGGCCTCTTGTAAAAATGCTTAAAGTTTCTGATATTTTTATTTTTTTCTTGTTTTGGAAAGGTCTTAGACAGTGAAACCCTAGGCTCTAGTAAAGCAGAATTAAAAACAAAAAAGAAAAAGCCACCTTCACCTTACTACGATTATACCTCACTGAGTGAAGCTGAGTCAGACACAGAGTTTAGCTGCTCAGGGAGCTCAATTTCAAGTGATGAATCAGGGAACTCTAACCCAGAAAATCAATGGGACAGTCAGGACCTTGAGAACTTAAACATCTTCTTTGAGAAGACACCAGAGACATTGGAGAACTTTACCAAAGAAGTGAAGGATGCTTTCGGGAATAGGGAAGGTTTTTGTCCTGATCCCAGCAGAATGATTGATATTTTGAGGAGTCAAATGGAAGAGGATCTGACATTTTCTTATGATTTGGGAGAAGTCCGGGACATAAGATGTGCTTCAGCTAAAGACGTGATAGAGGTGAGACAGGAGGTGTCTAGGAAGATAAAGGAGGACGTCCAAAGGATGCAGGAAAAAGCAGAGGAATTTGATTCAGAGAACCTGTAAGTTATTGGATACTTGTTTTCAAAGAAGTGTTTCTAATTAATGATTTTTTTAATTCTAAAGTTTATTTATTCAAGAGTGTACAATATACACATCATCCAAAATTTAAATAAGTAAGGCCTAGATAAATAAATATGTTTCCAGTTCCCTGACTAATCCTAAATTATGAGTAGCTACTTGAAATTCTCCAGCATTAGTGAAAAGGAGAAGTCAATTGTTAAAATTTCTACATATGGATCCACCATTTAATTCCATGGATTCTAATGAAATATAGAATGGAAGGGAAAACAAAACAATTTAAAGGAAAGAAGGAAGAAATTAATTGTAATCATTTATTTTTTCTGTTCAGATTTTGCAGGGCGCTAGAATCAGCTGTGGGGAAATCTGCCCTGGAGGTCGCTGTGTTGTGTAATTCTGCCTCGCGACACTTTGCCCGGGAGACTGAGTTACTACTTAAACTGGTGCTAAGGGAGCCTATATCTACATCAAAACAAAATGAGGGAGGGCCAGACTTAAATTACTTCCAGAGCTTCTGTAAAGTGTTTGGAAAGATCTTCTTTTTAAGTGAAGGGTGAGTCTGTTAACTGTTGTTATACATGACCCCCCCCCCCCCCACCGGCATTCCCAACAACCGCCCCCAAAATATGTGGAAAAGTAGACAAGAATTGGGAAATTTCAGTTTAGGCTTGTTTGTTTAGACTTACTAAAGACCATTGGGTTTGCCAACACTTTTATTCATTGCACATTTAAATGCATACAAGTTCAAGGTATCATTCTGAATTTTTTAGGGTATGACTATTAATTATTACTAAGTTTTGATTGAAAATTAATATTTAGTGATGTCTAAGTTGTGTTTTAAAAGTCCATTTTATTTTCTTTCAGTGAATTACCTCTGGTATCCTTTACATTAAATGATTGTACTTTGAGGAAGAAGCCTGGTATTGTCTACCCTTGGTATTCTCAGTCCAGGGAGGAGGAACAATTGTTTATAACTGAGGTAAATTAGTTAACATTATACTGCAGATAGAAGTTGTTAAGTGATTGAAATCTAACTGACAGAAAAAGCTTATTAAAATATCTGAAGCAAACACGTCTATAAAGTTATTGTTATGATGTTGATATTGGTACATATCTGGCGACTGGCATTTAATGTGCTACTGAAACCAAACTTGCTGTTTTATTGTCCCACACAATTGTATGGAGTGAATGTGTGCTGTGTTTTGTTGTACATGTACATGATTGTGCTGTGCAATTGTTGCACACAAAACGATGGAGAAAACATATGCTGTGGTATAGTGCACATTTGTGCTGTATAACAGTGTGTTGTGCACAAGTCATGAGTCTCAGCAACCTAAGATTTTTTTTTTAAATCAATATAACAGTTTGAAAAGGAGTTTTCATAAAACTTGCTAATGAGGTCAATAGTTTAACATTTGAAATATTGATCAATGAGACACTGTCAAATTAATTCTTTCAAGTGCATAGTTCATTGTTTAGTACATGTACATGTACAATCAATGTACAGTACATTGTACTAACACTTGTTATTATTTAATTTCAGGTACATGAAGCACCAGTTTATCTAGGCCAAACAGACATAAAAGACCAAGTTGGTACCAAAATCATGGGACAGTTTGGAATAGAACTCATTTGCCAATTAAGACGCTCTGTATTTTATCCTAATTGTCTTGGAGTCCTCTGCATGGAAACAAAGGTAAGAACAGACAATACAAAAAAATATAGGTGCAAAGTATGTTACTGTGGTTTCATCAATTTTCGATGGCATCAATTTTCGAGGATTTTGTAAAACAGACGTTTTCGAGGAAACGTTATTTCGTGGACAAAGGCATTGCCAATACAATTGAATGTCATATTTCGTATTTCAATGTACATTTGAATTCGTGGACCTGCTCAACAACGAAATCTACGAAAATTGGTGCTCAACGAATATTGATGAAACCACAGTATTTGGATAAATCATGTCATGCTTTGTGCATTTTAGTTATGTATATTTAGGTTATCTGAGCCATAGGCTCTGGGGAGGTTTTTATGATGAAAGTTTGTCTGTTGTGTTTAGATGGAATAGAATTTTCATTTTCAACTTCTTCATATTTCAATCTGCATGGTATAAAGCATCCCTAAGAAACATGGATAAAGTGCGCAATAAATAAATAAATAAAAATAATCATTTACCCAGCCCCTTCCCAAGGTAATGTTGGGTAGATGATTGATTTATATTGAAATTAATGGGGCTGTTTAAAAATTAAATAAAAGATGAAGGGGCTAATTAAGAAGTCAAGAAAACTTTTCATACCGTAAAACAAAATATATATTAAGTTAAGAGTCTTATTTATTCATGACCCATTGCTATAATGGGGGATAATAGGATTAATCATTTACTTTTATATGGAAGGAAACAACCTCTCATAATGTCATGAAGGTCAGCTAGCTACAGTAAGAGTGTTTTATCAACCAGTGTACACTCCACTGGGATAAAAATTTTCTCAAAGAATTATGCAAAAATAGAGCTTAAAAAATCATTTAAAGTACAGAGAGAAAACATATTTTGATAAATTATTTAAGGAATCACTGTCTAGTAAGTATAGTATGCCAGGGTATCAAAGATAGTGGGAAACATGGGATAATTTGCATAATCGGTGAAGCCCATTTTGCATAAATTATTCCATGTTTCCCACTATCATTGATGTCCCTGGCATACTATACTAACTAGTAGACAGTGACTCTTTTATATTTCCATTTCATTGTAAATTAAAATTGAAGATTTAAATTTTTTTTTTTTTTTTGAAGATTTAAATTTTTAAAATGTAGACATACATTTAAGTTACCCTAAGACTTCCATGTCAATTTCAATAGTCCTCCCCCACTGACGTCATACAAAAGCAGCCGCAAAAGATTTACAAGCATATTTGGCCTCCTAAGCTCCTTACCTATTAAGAGCCATTCTCTGTAATGACTTGAAATTTTATATAGGAGCTGTGGCACGCATAGTCTCAGAATTTCTCCAAACTCTCTATGATAAAAGTCTTTGATCCCCTTAACTAAAATCAGGCAAAAATTGGTTGCTATGTGTTACAGTTACCATGGCAACATGTCTAAAAGTTTAAAAAAATGACATTTTTTACCATGTTTAGAGCCCCATAATTAACATTTGCGGCAAAGCAAACAATTGGCATTGACTGTTTCCAAAAGTTGAAGGCCTGTTGCCTCAAATGCATGATAAACAGGTTTGGTAAATCAACTATTACATACGTTACTATGGTAACAAATTATTAAAAAGTAAAAAAAAATATTCATTGAATTTTATAAAGTCATACACGTAAAAATAAAAAGCAATTATAGGATGAAATGTGATCAAATAATAGAGAAAAGAGCCTTGAAACATATACCAAGAACAAAATATGATATTTCAGTTTGGTTGGCAATGGTTGCCAAGGTTTTTATAGAACAGAGAGCCTTCAAATTTACACTCTGTATGTTTAAATCTGATCCTATCTTTTAAGAGAGCACATTTCCTCATAACTAATGATCAATTTTTAAAGATGTTGGTGTAGTCCTTATTTTCCCATTTAAAAAAATTTAGATCGGATTCTTTAAATAGAGCACTGCTATGGAAATAAGCAGAAAAAATATGCTTAAAAATCTGAAAAATATTTTGTTACCTTGGATACGTACCCTCAAATGTAGATTCCCAAAACTTTTATGATTGATATTTATTAACAGCTGACCTGACTTTTAATTTTGACTATCATCCAATCTCTAACTGGATGCAAGAAGCTGGCACACAGGGTTTAATATTGATATAAAGTTCACAAAATCGAACAATTTCCCTTCTCGGTAACCATAGCAACAGTGTTGTTTTCTTCGTCAAGTTTGATCAATATATGATATTCAACTTCAGTTCTAACAGATAAGTACTATTCAAGCTGAGTCCTTTAATTTGTTTCTTAATTATATGGCAATTTGATTCTTAATGCAGCGAATAATAATTCACTTTTAAGCACTGGTACTTTGTTTCCATGGTAACACTGCAAAGTAGCAATTATACCCAATATTTCTTATGGTTTTGGTGTTGCAAGGTCCTAAGCATGTATATTTGCCAGTCTTAAATTTTCATGTTTTTCCTCAAGACAGTAGCATTAACCCAATCTTAGTTACTGGTTTTGCATGGTTACACTATGTTACCATGGCAACCATTAAAGTTATTTATAGAATAATATTGCTTATACTTATATACTTAAGGTCAAACATTTTCATTGTTTTTCTTAAGTCGTTGATTGAGTTTGAGCATGTAACACCTACTATTAGTGAATATGGAGTGTTTTTCAGCATATTTCAGCATTTTAAATGTATTCCAAATGTACCCTTGGTTACCACTTACTTAGAGATATATTCTAAACAGTTTCTTTACAGTATAAGTAACATCAAGGTGTCATGTTTTTGTGAGAATGATTTGTTTGCTTTTCTAGTTTTTATCAAGCCATAGTCAAGATTTAAAGTGGCTGAAAATCTCGATTTTTCAAACTTTTCCGGCTGTTGCCATAGCAACCGAGACACTTAGCAACGAAATTTTGTTTGATATTTGTTTCTGGTGTCAAGTACTAAGCATGGGTGAAGTTTCATCAAAATCGGTGACCATGCGTGGCAACGAAGTTTAAGTGGTTACAGAGAATGGTTATTAACATGCCTTATTTACATTCCTGTAGAATAATTAAGATATCAACTCTGCTAACTTTCAAAGAGTTATCACAGAAAAAAAATGGAAATGGTAATATCAATAAATTTTAATGTTAAGGAGGCTCATTACACCACTTTTTGATGACGTACTACACAAAAAAATTAGCCTCCATTGTGTTGACCGGTTTGCTCAGGGAACGAGTAGTGTAGGTACCTCTATAATATGACACTGACCTTTAAAACGCTGTAAAAATAGATGAAACATGCGGTGTTGTAAACAGTGAAATCAAAGTAACGGATTCATTATGCATAAACCAAGAAGAATTGCTTTTAGGCAGAAACAAAAGAAAGCAACAGTCAAATCTTCGCCAAACAAGTAATGCCAATTTCATAGCCATGCATGCAGTGAACTCTTTCAATCACTGACATGTATGTATTTAGGAAATTCGATTTAAAATCTACAACCTTATTGAAATTAAAATTTTATTTAATTGCACTATTTACTGTGTTGGTGTTATTTTATATATTTGTTTTATTGATTTAAATGTATACTCTGACAATTTAAAGCTTTATTATGAATTTCAGATGTAATGTCAAACGTTCCATAGTGTTTTAAGTCTTGGCTAATTAGGAAAGATAACTCTTGAAAGTGGACTTTTTATACTAAATATTTTTTAAATTGGATTTTTCTTTTCCTTTAAATATTCTTCATTCAATTTGACACATGTAATTCATTGAAATACATTCCTTGTCTCTTCAGAACATATTTTTTAAACGTTTTATGCATAGATTAAAAAGATAATGACATTAATTGTTTTCTAGGAGAAAATTATTTTTTCTAATAAAATTGTTATTAGGTATTATGAGGTATTTTCACTTTGTGTACTTGTCTTAAGAAGATGCCCATCATTTGACACTGAAAGTTCTGCAATGCTGTGAAAAATAAAACTGAAATAAAACATTTCACTGAAATAAAACAAAAACTAAAAAATTCTAAAAAAAATATTTATAATATCAATACCCCCATCTGGATATTTGACATCTACATTATAAGTGGTGCTGTATTGAAATCTAACATAAACTGTGGATGTAATGAGCCACCTTAAATATTTGCATTGTTTCTAAGGTAAAACAGAAAAAAGGGTAACACAGATTAGCATTGTATCCGTTGAGTCTCTTGTTTTTGTTGCAGTTAATTTTTGTATTACTGAAAGTATCAAAGAAGCATGCCATCAGCCTATATAAAGGGCAGGAGGGTTCCACAGAAGATCCAGGGAAGTGTAATGGGCAGAGGGGTTCCACAGAAGATCCAGGGAAGATAATGTACACAGAACCACTAGACATACTTAAAGCCGAGGACAGGGTAAAAATGGCTAAGCTTCTCTTCTGGTTAGGATGTCTTCAGGATCCGAAAAAACACCGGTTTTGTTGATTTGTACTGTATGTGTGAAGCATACTTAAGAAAGTCTTACTTTCATTTATTTTTTCATCATAAAAAAAACACCAGTGTTTACCTAGCGGTCCTACTAAACAGAGTACACTAGTACAATAGAGTACTTTAGGGTACGCTAATAAAATTTTATAATTTAATGCACTTAAACTGCATTTAGCATGTTTCTCTACAGTAGTTTAACATAATAAACGTACATTTTAAATAAAATGCACATATGTTTTTAATTAGGGAAGTTATTTTAATTTTTTTTATTTCAGGTTATGGTTTATTGATTGATCCCAATGATCCCGATCTTATTTAAATTCAAATGTTTGAATTTTAGTGCGAAAAACTACAGTGTATTTAAATTTTTGATAAATGAAATTTAGCTGAAATTAAAAAGTCTGAAAGAAAATTGTAATCAAGATTGGGGTGTTAACATGTTTATAAAACCTCTAATGCTTTGAATCATGAATATTGCTTTCTTGTCAAAGTATCGCTAAAAATACAAAAATGTGGGACAATATTATTTTAAAGGTTGTATATAGATAAATCAACAGTCTAATTATATTAAAATGCACGATTTTCTAGTGTACTCTGAAGACTCTATCACATTCTAGCGTACTCTGTTTAGTAGTACCTCAGTTTTGTTGATTTATACCAAAAAAAAAAAGTGAAACATATGACAGCCGTCACTATTTTATTGTCCCAAAAACTTGGTTTGTTGATACATACTGTGTACAGTATATGTTAAACATGCTTTAGGCAGCCTTTCTTTATTTCATCATCCTAAAAAACACCGGTTTTGTTGATATATATATATATACTGTATATGTTAAACCCATTTTATATGGCAGCTGTTCATTATTTCATCATAGTGTAAAAGAGAAATTTATGTTAATTATGTTATAATATAAATATATGTTGAAAATTAAAGAGGTATTAACCTTAACCTTGATTATATTTATTTAATTAATAAAATAATTTCATGTAATAAATTCTACAAGTGCTTTATAAGGTCACCTAAGTAAACTCAGGTGACCTATTGCTATTCGTTTTCATTCGCCCTCATGCGTGGTTCCTCAAGTGTTAACATTTAAACATTTCAGCTTCTTCTCTGAAAAGGCTGAACCAATTTCAACAGATTTTGGCATATAACATCTATAGGTGAAGGGGAACAAAAATTGTGAATTTCATGGTCTATGGGGCCTGGGGGTTGGGCCAAATCCACTAACTTTAGTGCAATATTTAAAACTCTTCTTTTTTACTCCTGGACATAAAGCATTCAAACTGTTGGTTTGATTGTAATCAGCATTGTGTCCTCTAGCAAAATTGTGAAATTCATGGCCGCATGGTCAGGGGTTGTAGTGCTAAGGTAGGGCTATTTATATTATGTAGTGAAAAGGCACTATAATTTCTTTGAAAATCTTCTTCTCTGCTCCTGAGTATTAAATAATAATGAGCAAGTTATGATGAGCAAGGGTGCCTCTACCAATAATGTTAATTTTTTGGCCCCATGGTCATGGGTTGTGGTGTAAGGTCGGGACTCTATTGATATTATATTGAAAATGCATTAATTCCTTGAAAATCTTTTTCTTTGGTCCATGTACATGTACATAGTTATGATGAACAAGAGTGCCTCTTTCAAAATTGTGAATTTTATGGCCCCAGGGTCAAGGGTTCTGGTGTTAAGATGGAGCTGTATTGATTACATGTATATTGTGAAAATGATTATTTCTTTGAAAATCGTCTATTCTGTTCCTGGGTATTAAATAAACTAACTAAAAACATAGTTATGATGAGCAATAATGCTTCTACCAAATTTTTGATTTTATGTTCCCATTGTCAGGGGTTCTGATGTTAGGATGTGGCTCTTATGACTATAAAGTGAAAATACATTATATTTATGAAAATCTTTTCCTCTGTTCCTGAGTAATAAGGAGATGAACTACCTATATTGTTCCGATGTGCAAGGAATCATCTTCCAGAATTGTGAAATTCAAGACCCCTGGATCAGGGATACCAAGAAGGGGGGGGGGGTGCTCTACTTATATACTGAAAATGTATTGTTTGAAATCTGCTCCTTGGTTTTAAACAAACATCTTTAATAAGCAAGTCTGCCTTTTCAAACATTGTGCAATGTGTAGACCTAGGGTCAGGGGTTCATGTGTGGTAGTGGCACTTTTGATTATTGCTGAATATCACTGAGAAGTTGAAATGCAATGTTTTATTCCCTTACCCTGTGTATGGGTATTAAGTAACCAAATTAAGCAATTGCTAACTGTACATGTGTATAGTTATGGTTAGCAATAGTGCCTCTTTCAAAATTGTGAATGCCATAGCATCTAGCTTAAAAGTTGCACCAAATTCAATCAATTGAACGTTGTTGCATAATGCTTAGGTAACCTATAAGGCCCATAAGACTTTTTTGTTTTGTTTTGTTTGTTTTTATTTTGTTAACATAGTGCTAAGAATTTTGTTTTGTTTGTAAATATATCCTTATTTACATATATGTAAATAAGGATATATTTCTGTGATATTACAGTTTTATTTAAGGACGTTCGATCCTGATATTTTGAGCGTATTTCGCGCAGGTCCTTTATTCATAAAATTAAGCATCATTTTTAGGTTCTAACAATAAAATTAAATTCTACAATGCAAATTAAAGTATATTCAATGAAAAAACCTCGATTAAATTCCATTCAAGTAGAATTAAGCTAGGGACTATATTTTGTGATGGAAGATTTTTTAGACGAAAATGGTCAGTTTTTTTTTTCCATTTGAACTTTACTCGTACTGTTAGCTGGTTCTGAAATATCTATTAAATTATTTCTCATGAATTCTATCAACAAAGTGTGACAATAATATTAATAAATGTGAAAATCCGGGAAAAATTGAACCAACTTTAACGTAAAATTCACACTTTTTTAGTAATATCTGAAAATGTACACCCCCACTTTTGATGTTCTTTTCTAAATATTCAAGATAAACTTGACCTATCTGCTTATCTGCTTAAATTCAGAAAAAGTTTAAGACTTTAAAATAATTTTCTTGCTTATTATATTTTCAATGCCGGAAAAATAACATTTTATTAGTGCAGAAAGGTCAAATAATTGATTATGCGAAGCAATTTGAAACTTTTTCTTAGTCACAATTTTTAAGTGTCTTTTTTTAAACAGACTTAGAATTCATTTTGTTTTATGCTGTAATCGAATAAAAATATTGGATGGAAAACGTCGAAGATGTAATTTTTAATTAAGACACAAATTTCAGTGCAGAAAGGTCAAATTAAATGTACTGTAGCGCTAAATGAAGCATATTGACCCCCATATTTTGATTTGAATTTTAATTAAGCTATGTATGTAGATACTAAAAATATACTTGGCAAAAAAAGTTTAAGACTTTAAATATCAGGATCGAACGTCGTTAAAAAAAACCGCCCATTACTCCTACAGTTTCAGTCTAATTTCTGAAATTTACATTTGAAATTTTGAATGAAAGAAGAGACAAAGATAAAGGATTCTTTTTTATTTTTCATTTCAATGAACAACAGAAAAAATTACAGATATTCTGAATTGATCACCTTCCGGCCTTAAACATGAATTATTCTTGTGTGAATCTTAGCTATCTGTATGTCGCATTGATATGTCAGCAATGAGGGGAATGCATTCAAAGACCTGTATTGCATTTATATGTATCCGGATAACCATTCATGTAAGATATTGTAAATGTATTATATTTAGAAAGTACGATATTTGGATACTAGTATATGAATCTTCAAAAATCAAATTCATTTCTTATATAACACAATTAGCCAATGTGTTTGGATTAAAAAGACTTCTGTAAGTTCATAGTTTTATTATAAGTCACAGCAAAGGTATCAAACAATCAATGATACATGAAGAGTTCAATTATAAAGATCTCGGAGCCAAGATGGTGAAAGCTCACATAGTCATTGTGTCAGATAGGGCCCAGAGCTAAGTTCGTAAAAGCTCTCATGGTCCGTCTCGGAGCTAAGATGTTAAAAGCTTTCATAGTCCATCTCGGAGCTAGGATGGTAAAAGCTATTGATACTCAGTGGCGCATCTTTTGTACAAGCAGCTGCATCATAGGGTTCACATATTTGGTAATAGCAATTAGTTAGTTAGAGTGTCACTTCATTAATATTAACATTGTCCACCCCTCACTGAAGCTCTGTCTCCCATCTCCTTATAGGATACAGCAATGTCCTCTGTTTACATTATTTAACATTCTCCAGTTAATTAGATGGCTGCAGCTCTGCACAGAGTGTGATTGGAAATGTCAATGCTCGAGAACAACACATCGTAAAACTAATTGTCCGTCAAATGAAGACGCTCTGTTATTGTATTCTATCTCCCAGAGTTTGTAAACAAGTTTGTAATTAAAATATTATTGTCCGTCGCTCTACGCACTAATAGTATCAATTAAAATTCATAACACAATATTAAAACATAGATAAATGTACTGTATAAATTAATATATCAATTAAACTTATAATGTATATGCTCATTGTGTTACACTTACATGTATATTTACATTATTCTTTTGATGACTTGCCATGAATTTATGCAATTCAACTGTTATTGTTAAAGTAGAATAGAGTAGACTATATGTTTTTTATATCAAGTGCAGTTCTAAGATGTAACAATAGAGATATTCATGCTTATTCCTGGTGAATATGTAATGTAGTTCATGAGAAAATGAAATGCATTTTATTTTGTAAAGATTCATAGGGGAAATTTATTCGAAATGTAAATATTAACGTCGTACTTGATTTAGCGGTTTCTGCATTCCGCCAAAGCCGTTAAAAAGAATATATACAGCCAAATTTAATACGTTTACAGTATATGCTTACAAAAGATAAATAGTTTTCCAATATACATTAAAAAAACAAGATGTGCTAGTGAAACATTGATGCCACAGTATGGCAACTTATGGCAAACTTCAAGGTTGAAAATTCCTAAATGAAATTCAAATGTAAAATACGGTTAAAATTGTTTCTTATCAAGAGGATGGTCTCTTCTCAAAGAAAAAAACCTATTCAATAAGAGAGCCTCTAAATTAATACTACATGTAACTATTCAGAAGTTATGGTCATGTTAAAGTTTTTACAAAGTCGTTCCAACTCAAAGGTCAAGGTTAAAAGGTCAAAAATATTTAAACTAATTGAAAAGTCTTCTTCACAATTATTAGTAACTAATTATGTAATGGTAATGAACGGGATTTCATTTACCTGAAGACAATATAATACACATTTAGTAATAAGTGTTTCCTTGGTCTAAGTACTTGGTCCATGCATCTCTATAATAAGATAAATACTTTAGTGAAGTAAGTTATAAAGTTGTATATATACAGTGGACCGTCAGATATCCGGACGCCAGATATCCGGATGCTTCAGTATCCGGACGCCTTTTCATCGGAACAAAATTTTAAAATGTTATTCTGTCTTGTTTAACTGGTGATATAGATATCCGGATGCTTCACATATCCGGACAAATTGACTGGGAACCAAAGCGTCCGGATAAATGAGGGTCCACTGTACATGTTAATCATAAAGAAACAATGTATTTCATTTGAAAATGAAACAAAAAAAGATAACAGATTTCATCTCAAAAAGTACACGTATTTTGCCTTTCAATTGTCGTCCATGAATTTCTTGATTGTCTCCCAAAACATTCTCTGCCCTGTTTTATTTTCCGTCCACTCGACATGAGGTATAGACTTGAGGAGCACTTTCAGGGATCTGTTGATGTGTTCGGAGTGTATATCCTCCAGTAACACTAGAAAAAGCTTATGACCGTCCCCGTCTGCCAGAGTGTGACTTGCCATAGCTGTCTCATACTTACACCACTGATCATCCATAAAATTATTGGAGAGAACCAACATTAACTTCCTGCTCGTGTCGATACTTTCGAGGATGTTCTCCACATAAACTCCCCCTGGAATGATATCTCTTTCGTGTAGACAGAGTTTATATATGTGGTTTCTTTCGAGCATTCGAACCAGTTCCGACATGATCCATTTTCTGTCGTTTGTGTTGTAGGCAATAAAAGCATCATATAAAAATTTTTCATCATTGGTAAATCTTTTGTATCCCAATGGTTTTCTGTTTTTGCAGATGTATATATAATATTTGATATCCCAGCGAAATTTTCTTAAGAGAACAGTAGTGAAGATCACAACTGACAAAAGTCCACAGGAAGTAAAGGATAGAATGATATATGGGTTTATTTTGTGACACTCCGAAACTGGATCAAAGTTCGATAGGCTTTTCTCCTTTAACTCAGCTGGGGAATGACAAATATAGTTGTTTGGGTACCCAATCGCTCTGTTTTTGTTGTTTTCTATCCATACTCTGAACCACTCCAGCTGGCATCCACAGTCAAAGGGATTAAAGGATACATGAAGAAAGAAATCTTTCTTCTCCCAGAGAACGCGTGGCAAAAATGTTTTATTGATATTACTCAAAATATTGTTTTGAAGAACTAATGTATTGAAATGGGATAGATTTTGATAAACGTCTCCTTGGATTTCCTTAATTTTATTATAGCTGTAAAATGATGTATCTAAGGTTTGTAAAATCATTAAGAGGAGTCATCTGGCTTATTCCACCATTAATGATTGTCAAGGATATTAATTGTTTCAGAGGTTGCAGCACTTTCCTAAGATCAGTTTTAGAAAAATCGGTATTTTTTATTATCAAAACCTTTAGATTTGGACATGTTTCTAACATATATCTGAATTCCTTATGTTTTATATCCACAATTCGTTCGATGGACCGTGTTTGAAGAGATCGTGATCTTAACGCATCTTTCTGCAAAACAACTCCTCGTAGATTACCTATGATAAGAGTTTGTAGAAGGCGCATAGCAGAAAACGAAAACATGGCGATTTTCGGCAAAGGATTCAGTGAAATATTTAGAAATGTAACTTGTTGGAGGCAGTGACCCTGGATATTAAAAAACGTTTGTACGCATCAAAACATTTTCTGCCATATACAGTTTTTTGAAGGTTTGGAAATGCTGGTGTCGTGGTGTCATTCAAACAGAATTGGGGGAGAGTTTCAAAGTAATTTTCTGTGAAATTCAGCTATTCTAAAGTATCCATTTGAATAGATGGTTTGCAAAAATCAAATAGGAAGTTGCTTCCAAAATCTAATTTTCTGAGCTTTGATAATCTTTTAAAAGAGAAAAAAGCAAAATATCGTATACGACAGGATCGAACTACGATTTCTTCCAGCCCCATTAACCAAGATGTAAAGAATATTCTATACAGAATAAACGGACGTATTCCAGTATGTAAATCAGTGTCAGACATATTTAGCACTTTCACATTTGATCTTCCGAGTTGTCGTACACCATTGTATATATCTATTATATGTAACTCATTTTAAGCTAAGTCGATGCTAGCCAGGCTTTGTAAATCCTCAAAAGAATCTTCTGACATATTTCTTATTTGACAATGATCTATCATTAAGTTTGTTATATTCAAATGGTGGATAGGGTTGAATGTGTCGTACAATAGATATGATATATTATTTCCTGAAAATATTAAAGTGTTAATACTCCTCGGCAGTCCGTTTGGGATAACTTCAAGGTTTCTATTGGAACAATCCGCAGTAAGTCTGTCTGGACAAAAGCATACGCTACCAGGACAGAAATTCTCTTTTGCTTCTCCCTGAACGATGATCATAACGATAACCATCATTCGGAGGACGAAGGATTCCATTGTTCTCTCGAAAAAAAAGTAAGTAGAGAAATCAAATTTCAATTTTCAAGACTTTTGAATCCCTTATTTTTGTTTTTAAAAGAACTTTAATTTAATTTTCTTAAATATTTATTTGTGGGATTGTTTAAAACAAAAGATAAAGTCTAATTATTAAAGATTATAGAAAAAAAATATTTTAAAACTCATATTTCAATATTAAACAAACTTGTTAATACATATGTAGTAAGAAAGAATTAGCAGAGGTGGGGTTATCAAAAAGTCGTATGGCTAAAGCCATAGAATTAATGCTATGTACTATGCTCACACCTCCATGGCATCAGATCCCACCTCTGATGTTTTGGAAGTCCACGTTTCTTCTGCTTCTATTTTGTATTGTTTTTTACATTTCTGAGCTTCAATACTGTTCCCATTCTCTCTAAACATGTATTTCATGCTGCGCTTACAAAAGGTAACAGGAACATCAAACAACAGAAGTTAAAAAGATATTAAGTAATTAAACTTCAGCTTCAGCCCAAAATATCTAATCATTTTAACAAACATTCCTGATTAAGAGGCCGTGTCAGTAACCATTGAGTATTGTATATAAAGTGAGTGGAATGTGAAAAAAAATATTTTGCTTTAATATTTGGGTGCATGGAAGTATAGATGAATGTCCTTTCAAACATGAGTTATTTGGGTCACATCTTCCTTGTTACCATAGCAACGGTGATTTTAATGCTTGAAAAGTGTGAAATTTGATTATCGATAACCCTGTCAAAATTAATTACAGAATCAAACTATGTTTTTCTTAATTTCAATATATATGGGAGATTTAATTTTTCCCATGTTTATTTTAAAGCATTGGGGCCTACTTTGCTTTGTTTCTACCAAATGCTGTAAAATCAACATGATTTTTATAAATATTTTACACGAAAACGCAACCAAACTCTATCATAATCATACATGCAATAGAAACTACGAGCTTTGAAGTTATAAATCCAATAATAAAAAATGGTAGTTGGGTACTCTTTAGCAAATAATTTGATTTAGAATGTACCACAAATATGAAAACGCGTGAACGATTATCTCCCTTTTGTGGAACTCTCCTGCTGATAAAGAACAGAAAGTTGCTGTTGCAGCAGAAGTCGGAGAAGAAAAACACCATGTAAAGATGTATAAAGCAGGTCTTGTGCGGTTACAGAGGACATGACAGCATCAAGAATTTGTAGGTGACTGAAAAGTACTATATATAGTCCGAAATATCTGACGTTTTCCTGGCTTTTTAACTATTTCTATATTTTACGTGCGAGGAAAACGCCATAACCGGCGCCTTTACGAAAACTGGGAATTCCAAGCAGAGGCGGCATTCTCGGGTGTATTTTCGATACTTGCAATTACTTGTCAAACTCACAATTTATCAATAGTACAATGCCTCTAGTACTTACCAATATAGTTTTTATGGTTTGTTTGTAAATATATTATCCATGATCCGATGGAAACATTTTCTCTGACTGTCGAGATTTGTTTTCATTTCGTGCGTTTACAAATTAAAAATCAAAGTACTGAAAGTACTGGGAAGCGCTAAGCATTGTTCAACTAAACCCGCCTCTTGATCGCCTTGACTGCTACGTTAAATAAAACCGAGTGTAAGTTTTGTTACTTTAATAAAGTCTAAAAAATGAAAAAAAAAAAAAAAAAAGTGTTGCATTTTGGATCCAGGTTTCTGCGATAAAATTGAATTCATATCAATATTACAGTCCGATTTTTTTCTTCTGACTTACCTTATTTCAGATTAGGTATAAAACTCTGCATTAGCTGGAAAGTTTCTTTGTTGTTGTTTTCTTTCGGGGGGGGGGGGGGGGGGGGGGGGTGAAAAATTTTGAATACAAAAAAATGTTGCTGATATCCTTCTCTTGAATGTAAAGTAGAGAACACAAAACCTTTGAATGAAATTTTGAGCAATGTTTAATTCTACTCTCAAGAATATGAAGAATATTTTTCGTACTAAAATTCAAAATTGGCTGTCGGTGACTTTATTTGTTATCATCGGCCGCAGGGGTGATCTGTCTATTGTGTTTGAAAGTGTACAGGGAGAAATGAGTTATTATACAAATATGGACTCAATGTAGGTCAGTATGCGCCATTTATAATGACCCAGGTTGACAGATATTGACCGAAGATACATGGAGTATATCGACCGAGGGCGCTAGCCCGAGGTCGATATACTCCATGTATCTGAGGTCAATATCTGTCAGCCTGGGTCATTATAAATGCATATCGACCGTGCATTGAGTCCATATTTATTATATTATATAAATAATATTTTCCCAAATTTATTTATACAATGTATATCTTCCTAATGTTTACAGAGATAGTATTAACCATAAATAAGTTGAATGTAAATGTTTCAGAATATATTGAATGTTACTCAGAGGAACATGTTTCGGTAATAAATTTTAACCCAACGCAAGCTATTCTATCTCCGAATAACACAGAGTACCCCCTCCCCCAGATTGAGAATCACACTCGTTTGCACTTGCAGAGGAAATCATATGCACTGACAAAATATAAATATCTATGTCTTCTACGTTAAGATACAATATTATACATGGCACGCTCGTCTTTATTTTTTCTTTATTCTCCGTAATCGCGGAAACATCGTCAAAACTCTGCTCGCCGAGTGGAAAAGTCGAATTCAACCATGAAATGGTATGTTCTAAGTAATCCCGAAAAATGTTCATAGATATCCTTATAATTGTTTTGTATTCTGAATCTTAGTCTCAGAGTTATTCACTTACTATATCTTTTAAATTTTCCTCACCTACAACTTGCAAACTTCCGAACTTCCATGTTTGTTTAAAGCGAAAGTGAAAACGAGGCAGCTCGTGCAAGTCATTATTCGCTTTCAGCGGTCGTTATTAAAAAATAATTACTTCGTATTTACCAATCACATTACAGGATTTCACAAAGTTATATAATATTATTTTTTATTGTTCCATCTTTAATAATAAAATATATTAGGATTATGAATAAACGATTTTTAAAATGACATAATATTTTGTTTGAACTGTTTTTAGCATATTTTGATATTTAATCGTCTTCATAAATATTTATAAAGTTAAAATTTATATAAATAAGGTTTTACAAAATAAAAATTCCTAGCATAGGACCTTGTAATATATACACACAATCGTTATAAGACTTAGTTTCTGGGTATATAAATTATGAATTGAACTTTTAAATTTTGTTTTGAATATGCTACACTTGAATAATATGATAATAATATTTTTTCAATATTTCACATTTATTGTGATACCAATCCGGCCTCGTGCAGCATGTTGCTATCATCATGTAACAAAAATCCCCGAAGACTTTATAATTGTGGACACGCCCTCCCCCCTCGATATATTCAACCCCAGGGCTTGTTTAACATTTTTTTTTAACAAATTATATTTATTACACTTATTCATCATGTGTACAATATGAAGGGGGATTCCTGTCCACAAGTACCCGTAATCCTTCATCTCTGACTCTCTCACACATGAATTATAATTTATTTTTACCGAAATTTAAAAAAAAAAGCTTTGCCATTCTGTTTCTCGTGCTATATTTGAAGCAGAATTTACAATATTTCTTTTTAAAATAAAAATATTAAATCACATACTCTTCTATTTAGAAAAAATATATCACATTGAAATTCGTTCGTATTTTTCTTGAACTCATTTTGGCGAAAATACTTTTTTAAAAATGCTGCAGTTTTTTAACACCCAATCGTTCAGTGAAATGGATTTTTTTTGCATCAAAATATTTTGTTACAGATAAAAACTACAAAACAAGTGTAGACTCTATATAAATGCGTTCAAGTTTGTACTGCTAAAAGGTAATTTGATTTTGTGAAATCATTATAATTGATTGCCCTATGTGTAATGCGGTTTGTTCCCATCTCGCCTTAGCTGTAAAATTTAGCATTCACATTTCACCTTAGTAAGCTCTCAGGTGAAATAATGTAATGAAGATTGGATATATATTAGCATCAAGTATTTTTGGGTATTACATTTATCCTTTCATTCACTGTATTCATAAATTCCCATTAACTGTTAAATTCAATCTAAAAAATTTATCATTTAAATTTTTATATCAACCCAGTAATATTTACGAATGCTAAAATTCCCATTTCGGCTTAGTACTTTTTAACTTTTTCTTACCTGGATTTCACAGTAAAGGCGAAATGGGAACACACCTGTAATGAAAGTGTGATAATAAAAATCCTCGTTTGTATAAAATTTACATTGTTTGAAATAAAGGCTTATGCAGAAGAGGGAATGAAAAATTATTTAACGAAACTACAAAATGTAGATACAAATAAGATATAGAAGCTAGTTTAATAAATAATTTTTTATGGAATTATGCTTCTTTTAAGATTTAATTCCCATTTTTATTTTTTATACTCATTGATATTTTGAGCTTAATGAGACTTAGATATATGTGCGCATAAATCTTTTTTGGTACTTGTATTAATATATAAACATGTATGGTCATTAGTTTTTCGAATTACCACTACAGAGATTACATGTACATTTGTGACATAATGAGTGTTTGCCAGTATACTTATTAATACGCTCCATATTGTTTAAGCAAT